AAAGAGCGAGGAGCTAAATTCCAGACACTTGTGTGGTGTTTTTTCTTTTAAAAAAAGTTAGCTACGAGTCTGGGAAGTAATCTAATAGTTCTTCCACTCACAAAAGGCTTCAGCAGTTCATGTAAGATATGTATTTTGGCTTCCAGAACAAACTCATTTTTAATTTTAGATGCATGGTGTGCTAATAGTAGTGCAGGGATTTGACATTTGATATATAAAAATCATTTGCTATTTTCCTCTGCCATTCTTACAAAAATATGTAAGACCAGACAGAGAGAGTCCTGAAGTGCTGTGCTCCACAAGAACCAGGGCAGAAATAGATGACACACACACCAGGCGTTTCAGCCACACAAACACTCCTAGTCAACTAAACACTGTGTACATTAGGAATTGGCTTTCCCCTGGAGAGTAGGAGGAGGGATCAGACAGGCTGGCTGGCCTGCGAGGCAGCTGGCATTGCTTTCCTTAGCTGGGAGCTGAATGAGGCTGCTGCTGCCTCCTGCAGCTGCAACCTGTGTCTCCTTATCACGGCTGCTGCTGCTGCAAGCTGTGCCCACATCGTGGGTAAACTCACTCTGCAGACACCTAGAAGTTGGAGCAGAGGAGGCTTTCCCAGAAACACTCCTCTGGCCAGCTGGATCTTAACCTACAAATTCTCATATTGCTTCCAGTTTATCCCCATGTTGCATTCCTGTGATTTCAGACAGGGACGGTAGAAGCAAAAGCTGTTAGCTCTGCATGAATAATCTATTAAGTCAGATTCTGGTGAGGCTTCATATTGGGTATCCTAGTTTTGGTGTCCTTTCTTCCAACCTTTCAATTCAGATTAAGCCCTCTTGCTCAAGGAGAGTAGAAACCTTAATGCCTGGTCTGTGAAGGGAGAACAGAGTGGTTTGGGTCTCTGCTATGGACCAGACTCAAGCAGGGGAGTAACCTGGGCTAACAGGGTGGCATAGCTCAGGATGAAGCTGAGTGTCTGCCTACATGTTCCCCTCCACGCTCACTTGGAGGGGGCTAAGGGGTGAAAGCTGATGAAAGCTCTCATATTTCCATCAGGAGGAAAGACACAAGCATCTCCAGCTCCCACTAACTTGATGCATCCAGCTTATCTCCTCAAAGGGCTCAGGCTGAGGAGCACCTTTGTAACCTAGCCAAGGTGTGCCCCCAGCTTTGGTGTAAAGCTGTCATCAGTGACAGCATTTGGTGATAGAAAGTGAGCAAAGCAATTCTGCTGAAGAGGAGAAAGGATGCCTATATTTCTGTTTGGGACTTCCTGCACAAATTTGTTGACGAGTGTTTTGCACAGGGAAATCTGTGCAAAGTTTGCTAAGTACCCAGGGTTCAGGCAGTGATACTCAATCTGTTTCCCGTGACCATGACTGCTGGGCTTCGACAACCCATCTCCCCTGCCCCTTTCTTTTCCTTCTGGTGCCACTTGGTGCTGCTGAGCAGCCCCCACCTCACCACAAGCATTTGTCCATAGCAGAAAGACCTGCCCATGAGCAGCATAGCTCATATAAGATGAGGAATCCTGAAAACACCAGTGTGTGCCCTGGGCATGTCAGCACAGTGGATGTGTCTGGTTTTCTGGGGCAAACCTGGCATGTCACCATTTGCCATCTGGATGAGACTTTTTGCAGGTGAAAGGAGAAAACATCCAGAGAAAGACAGACACTTAGGAGCCCAAATAAAGCAATCAAGACCCAGATAGGGGTGGCCCACAACAGCCCAAGAGCAAATTTGCCATCTTTCCACATAAGGGCTGAGTGGCCAAGAAATTACTGCCTTGAATCACAGACTTGCATGAAAGGGACATCTGACCTTATGTGAGCTGTGCAGATACTCATATAACCATTGGTGATTTATCCAAGCTGCTCTGAGAAGTTTGGGCTACACTGGACTGTCCACACAGGTACCTCCATCCTGTTAAGATGAACTGCACCCTGGCTGACCCAAGTAGCTCTGCACTGATGACACCTGGGAGTTAAACTCCTCTGCCTGATTGCTTGCAACCTCCTAACCTCCTCCAGGATAGAAATAAGCCTTCAGCACTTTCAGGTATTTAATAAGATGCCACTAATGAGCAAGAGCTCGTTATCTGCATTGGTCTGACTGCTTATGATTACCTGTTCATAACCCCGAGATGTCTTTTAAGAACTGTGAGGCCCACAGTTTCGGGAGTGGGCAGTGGTGCTCACTGGTCCACATTTTAAAGTGCTTGATCATCGATGCAGATTGCTCAGCCCTTGAAATGTCAGGCTCATTTAAGGCAAACTACCTCTAGTACCCCCAAAAAAACATTTGGAAAATCTCAACCTTCATTCATTCATAAAACAAAACCACATATCAGCTGCATTGCATCATGACTGTGTAGTAGTGAGGGCTACCAAGGTGCTGAGTTTCTAATGTAGATGTGACTGTGGCATTAGTCATTACTGCTGCCCTTGGTGGCAACAGTACAGTCACTGACACATTCATCAGGACTTCTGAGCCAGGTCAGGAGTGTTAATTGACTGGAATACTCCAGAAATACCTTGAGATTTTTCTCAGTTATGCCATGGCTGTTGAAATAGAAACACTTTTTCCACGTTCCCTGAACAAATGCAAGAGCTGGACTGAGTGAGGAAAGTTGCAATGAATCTGTTTCCCCTCTGCCTTCTCTCTCTGCAATCTGATACTTCTGTGTGAAGTGATTATAAAACCATGCTAATAAAGAAAAACAGCATTTTTACCCCATCATAGTCCCTCACAGCACAGAACCAAAGTGCAGACAATGGAGAGCTTAAGCCCATTGTTTTCAGAGAATAAATCCATTTCAGTTTTGGAAATGGTAGGAGATAGGTTTTAGATCTTTGCCTTACTCTCCCAGCTTCAGTAACAGAGCAGTTCCCAGCACTGTTCAGTTTCTGCCCCTCCTGTGTGGAGGACTCATAGCTCTCAGCCCAGCTAGTGGCATCCTCTCTGCATCCCTTGGACACGGTGCTTGTGGGTACTGTGCCATGCAGAGGGTGCACACACACACACCAGCAAAAGGCCGGGCATGGACCCATGGGGGGAGGAGACGGGCTGTTCTCCACATCCCCAGAAACACATCTAGCTCAGCCATGCAGCTGCCCTAAGCCAGTAGAGAAGCGTCTCACAGGGAGCTGCTGCTCCACCAGAGAAGACTGCTCTGTGCTCTGAGGTTGGGAGAAGGTGGGAGGGGTTGAGGATTGCTAATTGGAAGATCATATCTTAATCAGTGGGATTGGGAAAAAGAGTCTTGCTGGCCTTGACTGATAAGGAAGGATCCTCAGTGTCCAGCCAGAGACCCTGATCCCACCCGCTTTGCTCCCGCCTCTTT